GTGGCTAGTCCAAGTCTAACATTTCTTGCATCACTGCCAAAACTTGGAAATAGGCAGTCAATTTTCTTCCACTTGTGGAGAATCAGTAGGATGATCGAAGCAATCCATCATGTTTTTGTGCAGTTGAATGCCATATCATATTCTTGGCATCTTCTCCATTGGCAAACAATCGCTTCAATCTTGGAATAATTGGAAGATACCATATAACTTTTGCAGGAGGTCTCTTTCTATCAATACATTCGCTATTATCATCCTTGTCTTTCAATTTGTAACGCGATACACCACATCTTGGACACTCATGTAGGCTTTCAAACTCTTTTCTGTATAATACACAATCATTAGGGCAAGCATGTATCTTTTTATACTCGTAAACCCATTGGACAAAGTATTTTTTTGGCTTCATACATACAATCAGGCAAGGTGTTATCGCTTGGGAGCATATCTTTCAAAACTTCTAGTAACTCGGTGAAACTTTTATCACTCCAACCAAATTTGGCCTTCAAATTGACCAATCTCAATACAGTTGACAATCGCATGAATGTTGTACATCCGAGCATACGGAGGTATCTCTCGAATCTATCTTCAATTTATCATAGACAACGAGCATGTGCTTGCAGAAAATTCTCTTGACCTACATCACGAATCATGTCTTCTATTCGATCTTCCATTGTCATATCCTCCTCTTCCTCGGCTTGTGTTACTATTGGTGTATCAATCACTTCACCATGCCATGTCCATAGGATATAATTCTTCATTATCCCATCACATAAAAGATGTTCTCGTATTGTCTCTAGTGTGTGTACTCTCCCATTAACGCAGCTTAACGCATGGACAATACAATTTTCCATTAACCTTGGTGTCATTGTGTTCGGCAAATCGCAAAAATTCTTCAACTCCATTCTCATACTCTTGTGAAATACGACTTGTATTTACCCAACTTCGATCCATTTTGGAATTGGAGTCTACAAATGAGAAACACATAAAACGATTATTACTAATAATCGTTATCTCTAATGAAATCTATACCAAAGTAGATTAATTTGTAACGAAATTTCAACGAGAATTTCGCTCTATTTTTTGGTCAAAACCAAATTTGTATAAATTGAAATTATAGAGTTTTCATTGTTACTACCATCACTTATATAACTACATTGTTATATGTAGTTTTTAAATTCACACTTCATGATTAATTTCTAACAAAAATCCGATAGAGTTTCCTTTGTTTTTTGGCAACAATTTTAAATGACACAAGTGAAACCTGACAATAAAAAGCCCCACGGGCATATTCAAGCAGTTCAAGTATAATTGTACACATCATCAATACATTGAAAAAAACTATAATATGACTAAGAATTGAATCAGCAAGTTAACGGCAAATGACTAACAATCTCTACCTATGAAATGTAGTAAGTAAAATTGTATGACTTTGCCCAACAAATATAAGTGCAACAACATCGTACTCGTGGTTTAAGGCAGCGATGAAGGTTCGCACCACGTAGAAACAGAGCAGTAGCCGCACCGGGGTGGAGGTGGAGGATGCAATGCGGCGTTAGGGTCGAGGCCGTGGTGAGCTGGACAATGCAATGTGGTTGGAGGTCGCAATGCAATGCAATGGGGTGATGGCGTTAGGATGCAATGCAATGTGGGTGGAGGTCGCTAGCGTCGCGGTGGGCGACTAGCGTCGCGGTGGGGTGAAAGCCGCAGTGGGGTGGAGGTGCTTGCAGCGGGGTGTCACGCGGTGCGCGGTGGCGACGTGAGGGAGGGCGTCCGGAGAGTCCAAATCACGGTGGTAGGTGGTGGTCGCGATGCTTTGGAGAGTAAGGGGAGTGGGCGCGATGTTGGAGAGTAAGGGGAGATACAAAAATGGTAGCCTATTAATGGGAAAACGGGGTTTCGACGTCGGTTATACCCACACCCGACGTTGAAACTCGTTTTATCTCCAGATCATATATTTCAATCGATTGAAACGAGATTTAATCGATTAAAATAGTTCTGATCGGTCATAAGCTGGATTCGATCGATCATCCGACTCTGTAAGAGATTTTAATCGATTGAAACGTGTTTTTAATCGATTGAAAAACTTCTGATCTGATCGCTCATAATTAAAATCTGATCGATCACATTTGATTCTGATCGGTCATATTTGTAATCTTATCGGTCATAATGAGTTCGAAGGGTTTTCAACGTCGGGTTAGGGCATAACCGAAGCGTTGAAAGCCTACTTGACGTAGAATCCGACACTTTAAGAGATTTTAATCGATTGAAACGTGTTTTTAATCGATTGAAAAACTTCGATCACTCATAATTAAAATCTGATCGATCACATTTGATTCGATCGGTCATATTTGTATTCCGATCGGTCATAATGAGTTCGAAGGGTTTTCAACGTCGGGTTAGGGTATAGCCGAAGCGTTGAAAGCCTACTTTCCACGTCGTGCATGCTAAAACGACGTAGAATGTGTCAAAATTCGACTTTCGACGTCGGTTTTTGACCAACCGACGTTGAAAGCATGTTCAACGTCGGCTAAGATGTAACCGACGTTAAACGGCGACGTTGAAAGTATATTTTCTAGTAGTGTAAGAGTCTTATGTCTATGCAAGAGTTGAAATTAGTTGGTTTAAAGTCTCATGATTATTATGTGTTGATGCAACAACTTTTACCAGTGGCGATTCGAAACATCTTACCAACTTCTGTTAGAATTGCTATTACTCGGTTATGTTTGTTTTTCAACGCCATTTGTAAAAAGGTAATTGATCCAAAAAAGTTAGATGAATTAGAAAATGAAGCAATTGTAATAGTGTGTCAGTTAGAAATGTATTTTCCCCCTTCATTTTTTGATATCATGGTGCATTTGATAGTCCATTTGGTAAGGGAAATTCGATTATGTGGTCCAATTTTTCTTAGATGGATGTATCCTGTTGAGAGATACATGAAGATCTTAAAAGGATATGTGAAGAATCAGTACAGGCCAGAAGCTTCTATTGTGGAAATGTACATTGCAGAAGAAGCCATTGAGTTTTGTTTAGGATACATGTCAAAATCAGAACCAATAGGTATTCCTAAGATGAGACATGATGGAAGATGTGAAGGTAAGGGTACTCGAAATTTAAAGATTAAAAATGTTAGTCAGAAAGAAGTTGACCAAGCACATTTATACATATTAAACAACACTGATGAAGTAATCCCTTACATATCACAACACATAACTGAAATAAAGGCAACACATCCACGAATGAATGAAATAAAGGCAACTAATGTTCTAAGTGGAAAACCTAGAATAAAGACTTTGTAGTTCATTTATCCTAAGGTTAGAAACTTATTTATATAAGTGAATACCATAATTATTGTTTGTATTTAAATTTTGAAAATAATATTATGTTTTTTTCATCATTTCACTGTAATAAGCAAATAGACTCGTTTAAATGCGATTACTATGTAATGTATTGGATGAGAGTCATAGTTTGTGCGGGTTTAATTGATTCTTGGACTGGAGGTAATTACTTTTAACATTAGTTAAGTTTATTTAACTTTATTCATGTTGCATGTTTACAAGAGTCAAATTCATGTTTCAGGTATTTCAAGATCCATCTCCATTACCAGAATCGATATTACACAAATTAGAGAACAATGGGCAAAATTTTTTGTTCAACAATTCTAGTACATAATTTTTTAAGTTCTTGTTCATATTATATTGTGTGTATTATGTAGTTTAGGTAGCTTAGTTTGTATTAACTTTTAGTTTGTAATAGATTTTTTAGTTTGTATGTTTGTATTATATTGTTTTATTATGTAGTTTGAATTATATAATATTATATTTTTAATTTACTAGCTAAAGAAAAGCTGAACATCTGAATTTGTCTGGTTGTAATATTTACAGGTTTTAGTTGTAAAACAGAATAAATAAACCTAATTTTAAAAAAACAACAAATTTACATCGCATATGGCATATGCGACGTAAATTTACGTCGCGTATTGGTATATGCGACGTAAATTTGCTGTTTTTTTTTTATTTTCGAAAGTTTTTACGTCTATTTAGTGGTATATGTCACGCAAAATTACGTCGGGTCTTGATAACTGATGTAAATCTACGTCGGGCTAAAGGGTCTGACGTAAATTTACGTCTCCCATTTTAACATCGGACTTAAATACAACGTAAAAAAAAACCTAAATACCTTACGTAAAACTCCTTTTTGCACTAGTGATTGTTTACTTTATAAGTTATCTACCAAATACTTAAACATCTATTTGTTACATTGTTTTCAATTTTACAAAATAAACATAATTAGACATGTATTTCGTTCTAAAATTTATCATTTTTCTTAATCACTCCATTTGTAACTTTCATTCTAACCATGAACTTTAATGACTGTTCCTTTAATACTCTGATGACTTCATAATTTGTTTTAAACATGCTATCGTATTTTTTCAGTTAATTGTTTTTAAATCCATAACATAATATAAAATAACAAAAAACAAGATAAAATTCAAACGTTTTATCAAACAACATAAATCGCGAAACCATGTATTCACTTTATGTCATTTGTTTATCAGTATCTTGTATTGCACTGAAAAACAGGCATATTATCATATATTTGAAAAAGAAGAAGGACAAAACACAAATTTAATACATGATAAAAGTGGCAATAAAGTTTATTGCGATGGATTATTATAAAATATGACTAGAACAGAAGAGACAATAGGAAGAAAAAAAAGTCTCAGGAGAAGAACATAGAAAACTACCGGTGGAGAATGGTAAGGAAGTTGGAGAAGAAAGCTTAACAGCATTTCAAAAGTATTTTAAATTTAATTAGTATTTATTTTCACATCAGATGGTTTGTGAAAGTATGAATCGATGAGGCGAAGTAGGACCCACGAGAATCAGCGGAACATGGAAATTCGAATGCTATCTTATCCTGGATAACATTTCAACTACTTCCTCCACCCTTCAGTCCTTCACACTTCACGCTATCACCGCCCGGTAACTTCACACCAACCCAACATGGCCTTCTCATCGTCCCTATGGTCTTCCCTCTTCATTCCTAACCCTAACAGAACCACCATTCTCCCTCGATTCTCTCATAAACCGCACAAACTCCCGCTATCGCCGGCATTCGCCATCCCGCCGCTCTCCACGGCCACCGCGGCCGACGTCTCGGGCGCAATCGACGGGACCACCGTCGCGGTGGTGAGCGGGGGGTTCGTGGCGGCACTGGCGGCAGTGCTGTCTCTGACGGACCCCGAGCGGCGGCGGCAGTTGCAGGCGGAGGAGGTGGGAGGGGGAGACAAGGAGGTGGTGAGGGAGTATTTCAACAACTCCGGGTTTCAGCGGTGGAAGAAAATCTACGGCGACACCGACGAGGTGAACCGGGTTCAGCGCGACATTCGGTTGGGACACGCGAAGACTGTGGAGAACACGCTTAACATGTTGAAGGACGAAGGGTCGCTTCAGGGCGTTACGGTTTGCGACGCTGGGTGTGGGACCGGTTCGCTCTCGATTCCTCTCGCGAAAGAGGGTGCTGTCGTGTTCGCTAGCGATATCTCCGCCGCTATGGTTGCTGAAGCTGAGAAACAGGTTACTGTGCTTTGCTTTCTTTTTTTCTAAACAACGGGGATTTGGCTTAAGGGCTTATTTATTTTTTATTTTGTTGATTTTTAAGCTGTTAATTTAATATTTTGTAAATGTGCTCCTGTATAAAGCGAAAGGAATTGAAGTAATTTGTTAATATAACATGTAATTTTTCACAACTGATAAATATCTTAAAAGAATTTGTCGAAGGCCTTCTAATTGAGACTTGGATAATGTGACTTGCATAAGGTCCTGGATTATGCTCCATTCAACAAAACTCTTTAAATTATAAGCACGAGCTTAATGTCATGTATGACTCATTTATGTGCTTGAGTTTGATATTGAGCTTAAATTTACCTGTTTAAAAACCTGAACGAGCTTGATGAAGGAATGAACTAGTTAAATGGTCGATGAACACTAGTAAGATAGGTGGATAGCTGAGCTACCCCCTTCCCCCTAAAACAATGATAACATGGAAAAGGCATTCGTGAGGTCAAGTAATACGCCGTTCCAGAAGTAAAACGATGACTTTCTATTTGTTGCAGTCAAAAGAACAACTTGTAGCCAGTGAAAATGGATCTGCCCCTGTGATGCCAAAGTTTGCAGTGAAGGATTTGGAGAGCTTGGATGGCAAGTATGACACGGTAATCTGCCTTGATGTTTTGATTCATTACCCTCAAAGTAAAGCTGATGGGATGATTGCCCACCTTGCGTCATTGGCCAACAACCGATTGATTCTGAGTTTTGCTCCAAAGACGTTTTATTATGATTTGCTAAAGAGGGTTGGAGAGTTGTTCCCTGGTCCTTCAAAGGCAACAAGGGCATATCTTCACGCCGAGGCAGATGTTGAAAGAGCATTGAAAAAGGTTGGCTGGACCATAAGGAAGAAAGGCTTAATCACTACCCAATTTTACTTTGCTAGGCTTATTGAGGCTGTTCCTATGTAGTCGGGACTGCAAGGTTAGTTCATGATTAGAGGAAATTCTTATTGTAAATTGTAAGGCATTCTATGTCGTGATTTTGTATGCTTTTATTCTTCGCATATAATTCTATCATGTATATTTCTTCATAGTGTAGAAGATGCTGATAAATTGAGGCTTTGATTTCTGGGGGGAATAGAGTGAAGTGGTTCACAGTAAATTTGTGTGGGGCTGGTGAGTTACTGGTCCATTGGGCTGATGGAATGGAGGCAAGATCCCTTTATGTTGTCAAGGGAAGTAGTTAGTTCCTGTATTGCATTTTTTGTAATAATAATGATAATGATAAATACCAAAATCTGGTTTCAGGGATGTAAGGCAATTAACTAGCATGATGAAGAAAAAAAAATGCAAGTATCGTATCGTACCTTTCGATACTGTTTCTTAAATTATCTTTAATTGTTGATAGAAATCTCATACTAGTCTCCTTAACAGTGATTGGAACCATATTTTGCATTAAGATGTTAACTTATATTAAATTTACTGTAACTTGCTTTAAAATAAAAGTTCTCAAACATGAATGGTTTACTTTGAGTTCAATTTCAGTTAAAATTAATTTTGTAAAATTAAGTTTTTGATGGACATACTTCCTAAATTTATTGCCAAAGAATGTAGAGTACAAACATAAGTTCCATACCGCTGCAAATCGCAAAATTCTTGTAAATTATGTTATTAGTATATATTTATAGGTTTTTCTAATCTCGATTAGCAGACTTGACTTATTATTTCTAGTCAATTTTTTTTCTTACTACTATTTTTTTATCACTTTAATCGAAACTTTATTTAAGATAAACTAGTTCAATATCATTCAAATTTTGTTAGTATGAAAAAATAATGATTTAAGGTAAATTTGTAAATTGCTTCTTCATACCATTTGGTAGGAATAAGGATAAAGTAACAGTATTTGCAAGCTGTATCTAGAGTTGAAAGAAAAACTTTCTCATGAAAACAAATGATATGAATAATAATTTCTCCCAAAAAGAAATCCGGTATAAATAACTGAAGTACTAATTAAAATGGGGTAAAATTATGAGAATTAAATCTGGAGCAATAATTAGCAGATCCTTGTGATGTGAATTCATTTACAGCTTGTCAGCAATCTTTGTGAGAGCATCTGAGAGCTTGCCAAGGGCTGCAACTAAGATGTCAGTTTGCTGTTTCTGCTGGTCCCTGGCCAATTGATAATTTATGTTCTGAGCTCCAAGATGAGCTTTCAGTATGTCACTGTTCCTCCTAAGCAATTTGGTAATACTGTTGTTGAAATCTGTGCTGTCCTCACTACTGTCCGATGATAGCCGCTTTCTCTTGGATTCCTGCTGGAATACAGGTTCTCTCTGAAAGCCTGAGCCGAAATACTTTCGTTGAGATTGCAAAAAGAAAAGACCAATAATTCTGGAAACAGATTCAGTGCAGTTGGAATTTTCATCATTCAATGAATTGAGATAACATGGTTTTTTATGGAGTTACTTGTCAATCAATTAAACAGAAACATGCTTAGTTATGAGTTCAAGGAGTGACCATGGACGCATAATATTAATGTCAATGAATAAAGCATTTGCAATTGTTAACACACTCCTGGTAAATACAAGTTATTCTTCTATGTCTCAGTAGAATGCAGTTTATGTTTAAAATGATATTCCTAAAAGAAAATGCTATTTGGAAAGAGAATCATTTTGTAAAGAGAAGCACAAAAGAAGTTTATTTATGTAATTTGTGCTGGAAAAACTTCGCACGAACTAACAATTATCTTCCCAAAAAATCACTTTATTTACAGTAAAAATAAAAGGTTCTAGTTCTAATACTAATGAACCAGAGCTACAATAATGAATTAGTATTGATTTTTACCAACAAAATTACAATATATGCGGCAATGGATTGCCAAATGATAGGTATTATTGTTTGTTGATCCAATTTTGAGAGCCACAGTTGCATATAAAGTGTTTCTTTTTCAGGGACAAAAAAAGTTCTTTGAAAAAGGAGAAATAGAAGAAAAAGAAGGTCCTACGATATAAAAAAAAATGGGGACCAAACTTATAAACACTAAAATTGCATCACAGTCAAACTGCACAAGAGTGACAAACATTTAGTAAAAAGCAGGAGTGGGTTGATTTGATTACAAGGATCGTAGTTCCCTTGGCAAGATGGCTGCTGCTGCTGCTGCTGCTTCTTCTCTGCTTATTTGTTGAAAGCAACAAGAAAATAATTAATAAATAAGAAAAGGGTACATGGGAGATAATTAACCGTTGCAAGACTAAAATGGTCTATATTTTGAGCATAAAACAATTTGAAAAAGAACATATATTGTAATTCTCTTCAAATTCACTCATGAACTACATCATTTATGAACAACACAAACAAAATGACTGTGTAATCATGTACGTGACTTGGTACCTTGAGGAGGCCGTGAGAGTAAGGGTGTCTTTCTGAGACTCCCAGTGATCCCTTTCTCCTTGAAACCTGGTGACACTTTCAAAACACCATTGGCCATGTTTGCAGCTACGTTGGTCTCCATATTCTCCTCCTCCGTGCTCCAACTCATTTTCTCACTATCAACTATCGCCTCATCCTCCTCCTCCTCCTCTTCCTCCTCATTCTCCTTGCACTGTTCCGGAGCCACCACCTCAGCGAAACCATTCTCCACTTTCGGCACCATCTTGACCAGTGTCAAGGGAAATGCGACGGTGGTGCACACCCCTCCATCCAACACATTGTACACCACCGAGTCAAAGAAGCCCGGAAGTTTCTTCTCCTTCCTCAAGTCATTTCTCATGATCCAAAACGACTCACTCTCCTCCTTCACACCCGATTCCCACTTCTTGATCTTCCTGAAATCAGTGAGGAGATTGCCCCACCGTTTCCTGCACTGAACAGCCCCTCTCTTCACCCCACGTTGCTGACACAGCGATGACACCATCTCCCATTTGGGGTCGGTTTGAACGAACCCTGAAGCTGATCTGAACCGACAAACTTGTTCCCCACTTTCCACCATTTTCTTAGACTCTATGAGAACAAGAGTTTCTTGTCTGGTCCACCGAGGGTGTCTCGTGGCTTTGATTCTTTGGGTCTTGGGGTCACCCTCTGGTGTCGCTTGTCCTCCAACTGGGGTAGTTGGAGACTCAGATACACCTTCACAAATTTTCTCTGCTGATTCTGCTGCCATAATCACACACTTTGTTTCAGCGAAAGACTCCGAGGATTAAGATGAGATCAGGGTGATACATATAATAAAGACGTGCTTTTATGCTACTGAATGACCTTCCAAAGAGGTGCGATATTTTTTGGCCTAGGAAACTTCTTTCCACGTTAGAGTATTTTTTCTTTTCTCATTATTTCCTATACATACGCACAAAAAAATAATATTGAAATATGTGTAATTGTTTAACAGTGTTGTTAAATTGGAAGCAATTGTTAATATAATTTTAAAAATATTATTATAAAAGTTAATGAATTATAATTTGGGATTGGATTATATTGTAAACTTTAACTCATAAAATTACTTATTTCATGTGAAATGTTAGAACATAGTTGTTTTATTAATTTATGAATTTAAATTAATACAATAATGTACTTAAAAATTTGTAATTCCAATCCTCTTTGTTTAGTTAATATATGACCTAGAGAAATATAATTGAAATTGTGTGTATCTTTTCATGACATATTTTCTTTGTCCTTACTTGTAAAGCATAATCACCTAGTTCATATATATTAAAAAAATAATTAATGGTAATAAATTTGTCAGTAAAATAATTAATTATAGAGAGAGAATAGTTACAGTGAGTTATTCATTATCTCCAATCTTTACAAGAGAGACATATTACATTGTTGGTATTTATTATTTATGGACTGAAATAATCAAGGATTTTTTCAATAATAATAAAAGTTAATGCAATAGATAGTTAGGATAAAGTTTATTAAAAGAGGTTAAAATAAATATTTTTGAGGATGAATATATATTAAATAACAGTTGAGATCTCTTAAGAGGGTGCCCTTTCCTTCTAACCAAAAAGACCAAAAACAGTCTTTAAAAATGTCAACGGCCCCTTGTAACGGTGCCCTCTCCTTACAAGTAAGGGCGAGACTTGATTCCGAATAATTTTGAAATAAAAACTGGTCGTAGTAAAATTGTACAATTTTTGACATCTTTGTTTATTGTGTTTTATAAAAACTATTAAAAGAAGTTTAATTAGCAACCAGTGTGAAGATTAATTCCTAAAACAATCTAATCATATTTTATTGTTATATGAATCAGATATTTGTTTCAATTTTTCTAATGGAAAATCTTTTTTCTTTGTAAAGAAATAATTTTTTATATTAATGGTACTAGTAGAATCTGTAACTTATACATAATCATCATAATGAGATAACGTTTATTATATGAGAAATCATACGCGTGATAAATATTATGAATTTTTCAAAAGATTAAATTTAATAATAAGTCGCAGATTAATATAAGTAATAAATCACAGGTCAATAAATTTAGTGTTATATTATTTACTTCAATTTAACCAATTCCTAATTTTTTTTTTCCATTTTCCTTATTTCTCTTATATTAACGTTTCCCAAAGAGGCAAAAATCGGATTTTCAATACTCAATATTAAGAAAATAACTAAACTTTTATTAATGGGATACTACCTTGTTATGGTAGAAGAGTGGAACTCTAAAAAATTATAAGAATAAATAGTAATTATGCTACTTTTTTTTTCAAATTACACTTATATTTCATATTGTAATGAAAATGAGTGATAATGTAAATTACTTAAAATATATATCTCCATAATTTTTTTTAATTATTTCAAATTATATTAATAAAATAAGATACATATATTTTTAATAAATAAAGTGGTTCAATATTTAAATACTATGATATTATATAAGGTATGAAATTAACTATTTTAAAATAGGAACATTCACTTAAGTGTACTTAAAATCTCCAGGTATTAATCATAATTTAAACAATGACTAATATCGA